CGGCCTGGCCACTCGTGAATTTAATATCGTCCAGCTGGAAATAAACGTGCTGGAAAGGGCGAAGTGGCAAGAACGTCGTGAGAGGAAACCGGGCCATAGAAAAAGGAAAATTCAAGCGAGCGGATGAAGACGCGGAGACCGTGACCCGAACTGGGTACATGCTGAGCTCGATCAAATTTTTCCTTTACGATCGAGTTATGCTTTTCGACTGGAATTACGGTTTATGAACTCTGGCTCATTTTTCATGCTCATCCTTAAACGATATTTTCGCAAGGTTTGATCTCTTAATTTAAATCTTCTTGCTAAGTTTCATGGAGGAACTTTGTACGTAGAATAATTTATAACCTTTCGAGCTTCTCGGGAGTTTGGAGATAGTGCAGACCCTTGCAAGGTTAGAGGACATTTTAGTGATACACTGAGAGTCACGTACCCTTACTGGGCCCTGACTTTTTGATCTTTGAACTCAGTACCAGAAATCTTAATTTTTAACTTTAATAAACCTCTAACACTCTGTATCTATTTCTGGGCCATACAATATCACTGTAGACTTGAACCTTTTCTATTTAAATCATTTAGTATCCTATCGTCATAAGTGAAATTAGTGAAATCATAAGAAGAAAGTTTGTTCGAGAAGAGCGGTTCTCTCCCGTGCCTAAGCCGCGTATCCAGCTATAGCTACTTAGAGAGCACTAGGTCCAGAACAAAACGTTCGCACCTTTTCGCAAACGACAAGAGAGGCGTCGAGTTTTCAAGGCGAAAAACACTTTCTTCCGCGAGGCTGGCGTCACACCACGTTTGTGCCACGCGAGTCGGAAAATCCGATGGGGTTCTCCGCTATTGTTGGACCTCTTTAACGCCGTTTCCCGGCTATAATTAATCCCCGGGTGTGACGTCTCGCCCCGACGACTCCGATCCCCGATGAGATTCGATCGAGGCCGACCACGACCCGGAAGAAATCAATACGCCGACACGACGACACCGCCGATTGGCCGCGTACGATACGAGGCTCGCAAACTGCGCAACACTATGCCCCTTTGCGAAGATTTTTCTCAGAAATCGTTTCTCTATCGTACACGATCGAACACATTTTTTCGAAAATTATACAGTTATACAAATTGGAAGATACTCGAACACTCGAATCACGAAAATTAGTTTGTTATATTGCCTATACTTAGACCACTGTAATTATATTTTTGGAAACACGCGTACCGAGTGAGTCACTGTAATTTAGTACCCTGCACTGTTAGAGTGTTGATGTTACAAAAACACCAGTGCGAGTCCATGTTTATTGTGGATATTTAAAATAGCTGATCAGCGAATAGAACTTTGTAACCGCTGCAAGAACAGGGAATCGTCTAAAATTTCCGACTTTGAATAAACAAAGAAATAGAAATTACGATTCATATTTTTCGCGGGACATCGCGGTTAAACACGAACGATTCTAAAATTGTAGAATTAAGTGGCGATTCGCGTTCTCCGATCAGATTATGTAGGATGCATTCGTAATTTCCATTCTTTCCCTGGCAGTTTCGATGTTCATTCAGCTACTAGAAGGAGGGGGTGCTAAATGGAAGTGGCACGCAATAATCTCGTCAAGTTGCCGCATAGAATTCATCTCCATTGTGTTTGAAACTTCCTCGACCACCCAATGAGAACTGATCGAGCTTCTGAGAGATCCATTAATCATCTTAATTAACCGATTCCTCAAATTTTTCTCTATTAATCGATCTACGACTCTCACCGTGGAGTTGCAGTCGGGGAGTTAAATTCAACGGTGAATAGTTTTAATAGATCTTTGGACGACGTCCAAATTCCCGGTCGTTATAGAATTCCGATGGGGTTTCTTTCGCTTCCGAACCCCCTGGACACGAAACGGAGACCCAAGTTCATGAAACAATCACCGGCAAAACTTGATCCGATCGATTCGTGAAAAACTTTCTGGTTAGATAGCACGTACTCGACCCTTGTTATCTGCTGCTTTTAGCCTTTGTATTTCGTTTGAAAATTCCATGTGAATAGAATCGCGTCCGTTGCCAATAACCAGAGAACAAAAGTGCGAATCGGAGCTGGAAAAATAGCTGGAGGTAAGTTAGATGACGGGACGACGTAGGGAAGAAGTAGGACGAACCGAATCGTGGGAAAAGTTCTGATTGGAAAATCTGAAACGAAAGACCGTCGTCGAAGATAATGAATCGCTCGAAAATATTCGTCGACGTCATGCTTCCGTATTATTCGATGCTCGTTCCTTTGACGCTTACAAAAACATTTATCCGTTCGAATTACAAATGCAAATGCTACCCCCGAGGTTGATTTAAACTAAACAAAATGTTGAGGTTTGGACCAGTTTCCACAAACACGTATTAATTATTTCTGCACAAAGTTCTACAATCGCCGCAAACAATCGCTAAAGTGGAAAATTGATGTGGGTACGTGTACGAAAATCCACAACATAACTCGACATACACCGCAACTTTCATAGGTCACTTTGTTATGAAACGAAAAATTGTCCCAAAGCAAAGTGTTCAATTTTTAAATTATAAAAGTTAAATCATAAATTAACTTCCTGCGAGGTAGAAAGGTCTCGACCGTGTCGAGATAATATAAAAGTTGAAGAAATCATAGGAAAGTCCAGTAGCATTGAACAAAAACCTTTCTTTATTGCCGTATCTCTGTCAGTGGCCGAAGGAGACAGTTCTAAACGAAAAGATAACCAATGTCCCAGTATCGCGCTATAAATCAACCCCGTAATGGTAGAATCCCAAGGAAGATGGCACATGAACAGAATTGGTGGACATCGTCTGAGATGACAGGGGTACTCCTGCAGGAAGTTGAGACGGTGGCACGTAGACGTGCTCGAAAAGCGTAAGAAAGCGACAGGAAGTGGAACGACGGGGCCCCAGGCTGTGTGCACGATTTTCTTGACGACTCGACAAAGGCAGCCGGAATCGCGTTGCTTTCTAGGTTAAGTACACCTACTGGCTGTGGGACTAGGAGTAAACGGAACTATCGGGAGAGCTCGTCTTCATTGGACAACGCTAGGTGATTGGAACCTGATAAGGAATCGTGTAAAACAGACCTTCCTTAACTTTTATGAAGCTTCCCAAGCGGGTCGTTTTTCGGATCCGATATTACAGCAATTGCAGACTTTTAAAATTACTAATTGTTAAAATTTTTCATTTTTGAATTGTGAAGAACAAAGATTCTGAAGCTTCGAAAATTCTTAGAAACGCGATTGGAAATTATTCCAACGACTATCAAATCCATAAAAATCCGTACGAGAGAATTTCTTTGCCAGTTGATTTTCAACTTCCGGCGACTGAAATCTGCTAGATTCCGACTTAACATAGGAACCCTACAGTCTCCATCCAACGAGAAAAAAATGGGGTATAATACGTTAAAGTGAGGACTCGCTGAAAGGCCTTTAATCCTCAAAATTCACTGGCTAAAGTTCCACTTGATCTCGTATTCGAAAAATGCACAGAGAAAAAGCACTTGCACCGATAACCCTCGCGAAGTTAATCGATCCCTTACCCCTGGAAAACTTGCAATTAACACAATTTTCGTGGAAATTCTGGCTCGAGTGGCCAACGAGACAGGGCCTTCGATTCGGCGAATACCATCTGACCTATTTAATCAAGCTTTTTGATTGTGCCACGTGCCTATTAGCGGAAATGCTTTTAGATCTCTGACATATCGAGTGGTATCGAAACAAGGACGGGCATCGTAGGAAATAACAATCGTAAATAATAAAACGCGCAACAAAAAAGTCGTTGGAACGTCAAGATCTGATTTTCGGTTCCGGCAAAGCTCCACTTCTTGCCGTACATTGTGGCAAGAAGAATTAAATTTTGTTGAAAGTCAGCCAACTGTTTCTTAACGCGGTAAAAAGGAAGTTTAAAGGCTAAATAGACATGACAAGTTTTGCGTCTGGAATAAACATTCGCTAACTTTAGTTTTTGAATACGCAAATATTTCGAGACACGAAAAGGAATCTTATTGTTCTAATTGAAGCTAGAAAGGTCGTACTTTATTAAAAAAAGTATCGTGTATCATGAATTCGAGCGAATTTAATTGGATTTATTAGCTCTCGACACTAACTACATTGGATCAGCATATAATCGAAACAAATTTTTAAGCAATTTCAGCACGATATTAATTATACGAGGTAACGAGTGGAAAGATTAAATTGAAAACTGAATCGATCCTATTACGAATAATTGCAATTAAAGTGCACCGTTCGATACGTATCCATTTCCAACGTATCGCGATATTAGTACCGGAGATTCTCGTTATAGTGGGGAAATAAAAGGGAAAAATTGGCGGAGTAAGCAATACGTTGCAACACGTGGCTATTTTTGTATGAAAACAATCGGAATAGAAATGAGGTGTTAAGGTATAAACAAGACTCTCGCCTAGATCTGGTAACGAAGTTAATGAAACAGCCTGTATACGGTTTCGTAGCACAAAGAACGAGCCTCTGTGTCGCACGAGTTCCACTAAACACACAAGCTTTCTCTGTACCTGTCACGATCGCACACAAAGACAACACACATAAAGCGGGCTGGGTGAACTTAGTGGGTGGCACGGCATCCCTCGCGAGTGCCGAGCTAAAATTAGACCCGAACACGGGAGGGTTTATTCAAATTACTCCGCAACGCGCGAAGCGGACTCTTAGTTTCTAAGCGGCCACGTTACTTCTCGCCTAGAGAATGAACCGACTCGGATAACCTGCTATATCCCAGACTGACGCCACGATATTAAACGAGCCACGGACGAAACTTAATGAAACGTGCGACACGTCGATCATGGACAAGTATTTTTCTCCGCTAAACGTAACTGACTCTAACGATGCTCTCGCATAGTTGTAACTTCTTTGCAAACTTATAAATTTGTTTAGACATTTTTGTTTCATTACAAAAATATGTTAATTTTGTAGCGTTTCTCAAATAAAGACTTCTCCCTCGATCATTGTATTTATAAAGGAAGTAGATTGTACGTACCGTGGTCTTCTCTAAACAACGAAGTAGATGATGATGCTGCAATTCGAAAATATCCTCCTCCTTGTAGCTGTCGTCCAGCTGAAGTCCGCTCTCCTGCGCAGCCAATCGAGCTTCAGCCGCTTTCTTTTTGCTCACGAACGCCGCACCGCTCGAAGCTTTGGCGATCCTGATACGTGCCAATCTAGCTTTCTGTAACAAACGAAACACCGCATGGTCAGTAAGAAACCCAAACAGCCATCAATTTCTTATACGATCGATGATCACGAAAACAGCAAAGAAGGAGCAATTAAACGTTGCCAAAGAAGGGAAAAAGCTTCATGGTCAAGCAAGTGTGCGGGAATATTTGGAACCGAACCAAACGCGAGAGAAGAATGATACGATTCGGAAAAAAGCAGCTTCGAAAAACGAAAGGATCTCGAGTCAAAGGAGTAAAAAAACGCGTGTCTTTCCAGGTCGAGTGAAATCGTCTCGCGCGAAACAATGGAGGACGAGTTAAAATCCGCAAGAACCGTCAGCAAAAATCGCTACGACAACGCATCAGCTCCTCTTCAGGGCCGAGCGAATTCACGCGCGCGCAAGAAGTCATTAGACTAACAACGACGCATTGTCCGCAGCTGTTTTTCCCCTTTTTTTCCTTCGCTCCCTCGGGGGCCTACTACTTTCCGCCACGCTCGGTCAATTACGCTTTTAGCGAGGATTTTCCGCGAGAAATTACCATACGCCATTCAGTCGCCGCAAATACGCGACGGCGATCCGACGCTTTAAACGCACCGGTTCCGACCATTTCCGAAACGATTACCGACCACTGGATTTTGCGCTTCTCTCGTCGTTCTATACCGACAACACCGTAACGACACTCGTTCGCGAGAAAACTTTTTCATGGGGTTTATTACAAACGAGCTTCGTAGAACACTGTATCCCCCTGGGAAATTCTCGGGAGAATGGATTTCAACGCGCGAACTGCGATGCAGATTTCATGGGATGAAAACGATACGCGTATCGCGGGATTGAAAAGGATTAACTCTTCCACGCATGATTTTCTCTCAAGGGTTTTGCGTTATAAATTTGTATGAAGGTATAGCAGAGAGATTGTTATTGGAAAAGACAGTTCCAATTCTAATTCGTTTACGTCTGGTTTGCATTTATGTAGCACATTTGTAGCACGACGGTGGATTAAGAGCCTTCGTTTATTAATTTAGCGATTTGTAGAATTATGTCATACTTCCTGCGTTTCGTAATCGGTCATGTAATATGCAAGAACGTAATACGCGTACGCTCGTATAATATTCGCGGTGATACCAGGATCATTAAATTCGTCAGCGGATCTCGTATAGCCGGAAAGTTTGTTGGCATGGCAGCGATCTCGTATCGCGTAAGCGTTTTCCTGGGTAGTCTGCAAACTTTTTGCAAAACATCGATATAATTCACGGAACGATGTTGTTGCATTTATCTCGGGCAAGCAGCCGCGCCTGCGGCTCCAAACCGTGTACACACACCGAGCCTCCATTGTACGAGGCTCCTCGTGCGGAAGACATAAAGAACGCCAGAGTTAAATGACATCGCACCGGCATCCAACGCGTGGCTTTCGTTGAATCCATCATTAACGCGTTATTTCTCTTTAACGAGCCTTTTACTACGTCCGCAAGCCTCGTAAACCTTCGCACAACACCCCCGTCTACGACTGAACGCTGCCAACCAGAACTCTATAAGAATTAACGGACGAAACGAAATTATCGACGACACGGACATTTTTAGACGAGTTATTCAAACTTCACGAGAGGAAAATTTCAACGCGCGATGAGTTGCGAAATAACTCGTTACGCTGCTACGGGTAGCGATATTATTCGTCATGATAAAACGCGTAGCGGTACATGGCGATGCAACATATCACTGTAAAACACGTGGAAGATACAAAGCGTAAGAAATATAACGCGTGGAAAATGCAACGTGTGACAAATACCACGCATGAAAAATACCGTGTACGGAGAAACAGATTTCCGAATTTGAAAATTTTGTAGTATTTGGGTAGGTATAGCATTCCGGCGATACGAAGACTTGATTTAAAGATTGAACCGGCCAACATCGAAAGCACCGTTCCATAGATTCCAGGAGTTTGGATTACGATTGACCCGATTCCATAGTAGGAGGGTTAACGATTTCGAACGCAAATACTTTGGAAATACTGGTAATATAACCGCGAAGCCCTGTAAATACGTGGCGTGGCTACGCGCAGTAAAATCGCTGGAAAGTGCACGCGGTTGCGACTGCGCCCGTCGAAACTGCATTCGAGGACAACTTCCTGACATTTCGCAGCTGCGGTCGACCGCGTAAACACATCCACAAACGTCCGAGTATACCGCATGACACCTTGCAGACGCTGCTCTGCCGCTCCGAATGCTCGTCGACTCATTCGGTCAAAATATACGATTCGCTGCGAATATAAATATGGTGAACATCGAGAGGGAGCCGCAACCTCGCTACCGATGCAGATCGCTATAATTAGCTCGTCTGTTCGTAATCAAGCGTAATTTCGCATCGATGGATGGTGTTTGGTCAATGGATAAACTTACGAAGAATCGAGCAACGCAAATGTTTCGCTTCTTCGCTCGAATTCCGATACGTTTTGCCAGAGAGGCCCTTTCACTGCTCTGCCTCTAGTCCCACCATTGATATGCCTGGGCGCAGATCATTCGTTTTAATAGCAGGAATGTCCTTTAGAGAACGCTGCTGAATGGCTTTCGCGATGAATGCGTAATGGGGATAAAAACGCATTGCAGTAATTTCTTCCTCTTTCTTAAATTGTTTTAACAATTTCTTTTTCCATTTTGTCGTTACTCTGGATTTTACTGCAGAACTCTGTCCCCGTCGATAAGAACGTTAAACGTTGTATCGTTGTGCACGTTATAAACAGAATGCGCTGCAAGTTAATATAAACAACGACACAAAGTCGAACTTGACGTAACCGAGCTAGACCACGGAGGATTAAAATTAGACGTTTTTTGATAAAGTCACCGACTTTGAATAATCGCGCGATTTATAAGAGTAGACGGAAACAGTAAGAATAAACCGAACCGCATAATACTCGCGAGGTTTGACGCACAGAAGCTGCTCTCGGAACAGTCATCCTTGGCATTGCTGATTCATGACCGGGGACGAAATAAACGGCGCAAGATCAGTCCACGTTTTCTAGTTTGTTGATATTTCCGACTCGTCGTGACCGTAAAGCAACGATGTTCGACGCGTAGAAACAAAGACAGTTTTAGATTCGGCCGATTTATCGTTAAGCCGCGATCGTGAGCACCCGCGATCGATCTTTCCTTATCGTTGCACGATTTCGTAATTCCCTCGGCGGTTCAAGTATAATCGTTACATTATCGTGCCGTTAAGGAAATTTTGTAGAAGAATTCCCTGGAAGATCCACGAAACTCGATAAGCGAAACAGTCTGCTCCGTAACCATTGCGGATACGATTTACCGCGGCTAATGCAAATTGCCTGAAAAATTCTTGATAATGCTTTATCGCTGATAAGCAGCGGTTGTAAACACCGCTTAATTCTTGTAAAATTTGCGGAACGATCGAATGTCCGATAGGGGCAGCAGGTAATTGATACACTCATGTGTGTCGAAAGTAGGCTCGAATAATTTATGAGCCGAACTTTTGCAACATTCAAACGTCGCGACGGATTCGAATTATTTCGAAAAACTTGAACGGTTTTGAATGTAATCTGCATCGAACTGATCTTCCATTTATGGAGTAGCAGCTTGCCCCACGACGAGTTTTTCTTTTCAGAAGAGTAACGTGCTCGACAGAGCGTATGGAAAAACTGTATCGCGGAAGAAGCTGGAAAACGCAGCAACAGGAAAAGAATGGAACCAAAAACGAACAACTAGGAATATCTCGTGTCATCGGACACGATGCGGAATGATCGATCACGGGGAGGAACTCGCGACGCGGCCAACCGGAAACGGAAAACTGAAATTTCCTGGCTAGAGTCCAGCGATCCCTCCGAGGACAAAAAATTAACAGCCTGCTCGAGATTAATTACACCGACGACACGCGTAACTTACGCTAGGGACGAAGAAAATACGATTCGACTCCTCGACGAAGATAAATCGCGCACGGTTTAAAGTGCGATGACGTACGAACCTGGTCGATTTTCGCCATAATTTTATGGTCGCGGATTATCTGCTAATATCGTTATTCGAGGAAATGCAAGACTCGACCAGATTCACCTGCCGAATTAATCGACGTTGGTCGCTAATTAATTCGTTTATGAATACGGCTTTTTATCGGGTTTACCGACGACGGATACCTGTTGTCTCGCATCAAATTAATTAACCATCGACATGCTACGAGGACCGTCCTTCGTGCTGTAGTAACATGATGGAGAGAATCTACCGTTTCGCAAACATAATCCTTCAACGTGAAATTTCAGCCTTTCTTGTCGCTCGCGTAACGATATTACATCAAGTATTGATAAAAATACTAAAAATAATTATGAAGAATAAACTTAGTAAGTTAAAAATAAACAAATTTGAATTTGACTGCGATTGTTACGTGCATGTAGAGTTTGAAATTCAATGGACGCTCGCGAATTAATTAACCCAAAGACCGAGTGGTGTTTCGATGGAGTCAAGCAGCCCTCGTGAAAAATGTTGGAAAGCTTTTAATGCACAGGTTATTCGATTAAACGTAAGAGAAGGGTTTGAAAAATTTACTAATTCGATAAAACAAAATCCAGCATAATACGGTTGCACGAAACGCATTACGTTCGAGTGGTATTTGAGCGAGTAATGCTTTACAAATTTTACGCGGTGCGCATCGACAGAATGTTCAAACTTTAATTCCGTCGGAAGCAAGCCTGTCATTTTTCAAAAAGATTGGAACGTACGCGTCGCTTACGACATCCCTCATCCATGGATGATTTATGTTTGCCCATCGTTTCCGTCGACACCGTCGTGTCCCGACAAGAACACAACGTGTTCTCTGTAACCTCGAGCTTGCACACGGACGACTCTATTGTTTCTCGATATACTAGTCGTTAATCTTAGAAATTTTCAACCCTGTCGGATAACGAGATTCCTATGTTCTCCCGCAAAGTGGCGTATCTTTGATTTTCGCGCAGGTAGGGGAGGTTTCTCAGGTTCCGATGAATATTTTCACCTCGGCACTTTACTATTTTAATTTTC